ATCAAATCCCCACTAAATAACAACTGTGAATCATAAAACTATTGTAGTTCATTTACAAGCAGTATCAAATTTTAGAGATTCTTTCTGATGGTCTCATTTTATCTGACCTTGAAAGTTTAACAAATGGACTGTTTAATCCATAGATTGTAACACTACTATAGGTAATATATACTTTTCGAAAATAAACATAATGTGAAAGTGATTTTCAATTATTTATACAGTAAATGATTAAATTATCAATCAAGGCTACCTAGACTATCGGGACTGAACAATCAATGGGTAAAATTACAGATTTGCAGTGAAATTTAAAGTTAAACAATACAATTCAAAAGGCTTTGTAAGGTGAAATTTCCATTCTTTTCTATTTCGTTGACTATAAAATGCTATCAATATTAAGATAGATTAAACTATTCTAGTAGTGGTAGAAGTTTTGTTTCTTCGTTATCTAATGATTTAAAGTGTAATTCCTAGTCGTATCATTTGGATATTTATATGAACTTTTGATCTACCCATTTATTTAAACAGATTTAGAACATTCACTTAGTGTTATTTTACTTGAATCTTCCTTTTAATGTTTAAGACTGCAATTTATCAGTCTCTTATTGCTTACTGTGCATATTACCTCGATATTGCCTTAAGTCACAAGCACCATCAGTCAGTCAGTCAGTCAGTCAGTAACAACGTAGAACTTCGTACGTACGTACATCAGTTCGAGTTGCCACACCACATTAGCACAGAGATGCACTTGTCGATTCAAATCCCGTAGTGATAGAGGTAATAAGAGTATAAGTAGTAATCGGGAAGATTAGGGTTTGGAGATGTTATTTAAAGAGTATAATACAGTGAAATAAATTTGGAAAGAGGAAAAAAGGGACATGAAGAATTCAGAAGATTAGAATTTGGGAAAACACAGAGAGTGGATGCACCTGCGCCATTGCGAACGATTTTGAGCCATGTCATTCAGGGTCTCTAACCATCGGTTGCTGTCATCTCGTGGTCCCCAACCAGGTAGTCTACACCTACCAACATGACTCAGTTCACTTGTCAGTGACTTCATGGACTTGTGCCATGTTTTGGTTTGACCGCCCCTAGCTTTCTTCCAACCTACTCCTATACCACTGAACATAGCACGTCGAGGCAGTCGGTCGTTGGGCATACGTAACACGTGTCCCAGCCACCTCAACTGATGAAGTTTCACTACTTCATCAATTGATTTGCCATCCTTACCTAGTACCCGTTTCCTAACAACTGTGTTACTTACTCGATGGTCCCATGATATACGAGCAATGTTTCGAAGACACCTATGATCAAATACTAGTAACCTACGGATATCCTCTACTCTTACCGGCCATGTTTCACTGCCATAAAGTAGGACGGAACGAACTGCTGCGCAGTAAACACGTCCTTTGGTTGATAGACGGATATCTCGCCTACGCCATAAATGACGCAAGTTGGCAAAAGCTAGTCGAGCCTTCTGTATCCGTGCTGAGATTTCGTCACACACCAAACCACAAGGGCTGATGAGACTTCCAAGATAAGTGAAGCGGTCGACACACTCAACTACTTCACTCCCTATCACTAGTTCGGGTGTCGATGTAACCCAATCCTGAAGCAACATTTTGCATTTCGAGGGAGAGAATCGCATCCCGAACATGCTTGCATTGTTGCTTAGAGTGGTCAGAAGACTCTGCATTTTGTCAGCGTCTTCACCAAATAAAACTATGTCATCTGCATATTCTAAGTCAACAAGTGAACCTCCTGGTAGAAGTTCAACCCCTGTAAATTTAGATGAGGAAAGTGTTATCTCTAAAAGTACGTCAATAACAAAGTTGAACAAGAATGGGGAGAGTGGACAGCCCTGACGAACACCACTTGAGGTGATCAATTCTGATGACAGTTCGCCATAAGCTCTCACTCTACCAGTTGTGTTCGAGTAGAGAGCCTTTATAAGGTTAATGTACTTCTTTGGTACCTTTCAGTGACAAACACTGCCATAGAACCTCACGATCAACGGAGTCGAATGCCGCCTTAAGGTCGAGAAATACTACCATTGTGGGGCGTCTGAATGTGTGTCTGTGTTCCAGAACCTGACGTAGTGTGAATATCTGATCGATACAACCACGTCCAGGTCGAAAACCAGCCTGGTTTTCTCTAGTCTGCTCTTCACGAGCTTTAGTTAGGCGTCGAAGTATTATTGAGGCTAATATTTTAGACACTATATTAGCCAAACTGATTCCTCTGTGATTGTCACAAGAGGACTTTTGTCCTTTCTTAAAAACTGGCACAATCAGTGATTGAGACCAGTCAGATGGGATTACGTCCAGTTCCCAAATTCTACTTAAGACCTCAGTTAATCTCATTGCTAATACTGGACCACCATCCTTAAAAATCTCAGGAGTAAACCTGTCAGGGCCTGCTGCTCTCCCTCGTTTCAGATTTCCTATGGCTTTTTCAACTTCGTAAAGGGACGGAGGACTTACATTAACTTGCCATTCAGGTTGACTGGAGATCGTGGGAAACCGAAGTGTGGCTGAAGGCCAGTTGAACTGATCCCTAAAGTGTTCTGCCCATCGATCCAATCTCCTGGATTGAGAATGAATAATATGTCCATCTTTCTCTGAGATTGTTTCGCTAACGGTCGGGTTCCTAATTCCGGTTTCCTTAACGAGTCTAAACAATTGTCTGCTATTACCTATTGCCGCTGCCTTTTCCATCTCTCTTGCTTTCGCTACCCACCACTGTTCGCGATCATTGCGTAGACTTCTTGTCAGCTTGCGCTTAAGCTGACTCCGCTCTTCATTATGTTCAGAGCCAGATGGAATGAGTTTTCGAGCATCTATCAGTGCGATAGATGCTGCTGAGATCCAGTGTTGCTCCCTAACTTTACGGTTTACCTTACTAGCAGATATCACTGCTGTTTCCACAGCTTTTCGGATATCGTTCCATGCTGCCTCGGGGTGGGCATCACATACATGGCTGCCTAACTGTTTTCCTAGTTGTTCCTGAAATATATTCTTAGCTTGACTATCATTAAGTAGAGCCCTAAGAGGTTTCCTTGCAGGATCTTTCCTACGTCCAGTAAGACGCAAGCAAATACGCGCTCGCACTAGAGCATGATCTGAATCTAGGCATGTGCTCCAGAATGAGCGACAGTCTTCTATCGAGCCCCTCCATCGGTGGCTGATAGCGATGTGATCTATTTGGGTCCAACGTTGGGACGAATTAGGGGGTCGCCATGTTAAAAGATGTTTTTCCTTATGCTTAAAGTTAGTATTTGCAAGGAACAGGCGGTTATCTGAGCATAGCTGCAACAGACGGTCGCCATTATCTGTTCTTTGAGCCACGACACCATAAGATCCACCTAGGTGTCTTTCGTTATTGCTTAGTTTACCTACTTGAGCATTAAAGTCACCGGCCACTATTACTACATCCGAGCGCTTAGCTTTTCGGAGAAGGTCCGAAAGCTTTCTGTAAAACTCATCTTTTACATCATCTGAGCTGCAGTCAGTGGGAGAATAGGCAGAGACGACGAAGAGGCAACGACGAGTGTCCCTATCTTTCCGGATTCTTACTGTTCCGTTCAGTCGGACAGCGCACAAACGACTGTCTACTGGGATCCACTCTAAGAGAGCTAGTTCTGCCCTAGGACTCAATGCTATACCTACGCCGGCGAGGCCACGGGAAGCAGAATCAGGGCTTCCAGATACACGAAGCGTAAATCGAGTCGGTTCTTTATTTTGGCCTGGTGAGGTCAAATGAATGACACTACTTGGATCCTGTATGCGCGTTTCGGAGACGCAGCACACATCGATGGCGCGAGATTCTAAAGTTTTAGCTAAGGAAGCCTGCTGTCCTATTTGACAAAGTGTTCGTACGTTAAAAGCTCCTACGTGTAGTTTAGAGCGTGGTTTCAGGAGACCAGGAATGGCGTTCCACGTACTCGAATCGTTTGCCCTAGCGGTGCGAGGTGATAAAGAGATGTGAGGAGGGTTAGTCGGGAGGATAAGAGAGGTATTAGGAGGTGTAGGAAGGATTTGAATGTGACCACCTTGGTCTCTTGTGCTGTTACGGGTATGAGGGCTGATGTCACTTCCCGGCTGCCCACACCGTGGAAGGGTATTTCTTGAGGAACCTGAAAAGGAAATTGGATTAGTGTTGGTCTTGACGACCTGGGAGCGTGACCGCAGAGCCCAAGGGACAACTGCTTGAGGCCGGTCGCGCACGGCCTTTTTGTGGAAGGTTTTTGACGTGTTAGCTCCGTTCTTCAAAGGGCCTTACCGCCGGAGACGGAAATCTGTGAGGTAAGGTGAGGTGTGCATTTTTAGGGTCGACCTTTTCTAACCCCACCCCTCCTTGTGGGAAGGCAGCATCGCTGTCATGCTGGTTGTCCGAGGGAAACACCTTACTGCTGTCACACCTCTCTACAGTCAGCAGTACGACTTCGCCCTCAGACCTTGAGTTGCTGCTTTTAGTCTTACCGTTCGCCAATCGACCTGCCTGGCATGGTAGAACCTGCAGGAACATATGTTCCAGCCAATATAGCTCGGTTGGGTCATCACGATAGGCAAGCCCGACCACCGCGTCAAGGTAGCAGCTTCGATCGGGAAAGTATGTGTCGGAGGTGGGATTCGAACCCACGCCCACATCGTGGACCAGAACTTGAGCAAACATGGATAGTAGCTAGCAGTGGAATACAGAACACGCGTTCCGTCCTATTTGGGACTCATCAGCTGGATATTCCTGCATTGCAGAGTTGATGTTCACTCTGGGACTAGAACCCAGTATCGTTCGCTTCAAACACCACCGCGTTATCCACTTAGTTACTGAATCCTGATAGCCACTTGCTTGTGCAATGGGGTGAAGTTTAAATTCACTCGATTTTGTTTTACTTGTATCTTTCCATTGTTATTTAGGACTTCAAGTGATCAGTCTATAGTATTCTAATTATAGTATGAATTAGGAATTCCAGGATTAACGCAATTGAATTAAGAAGACACAGGCACAACGAATGTACTGTATTTAGAATTCGAAATCGAGCATTCAACAAGTACAAAAGAATCATTAGTTAATTCAAACACCACATCCGCCACAGCTTAAATAGAAGTATAAGTGTTTGTAATCGGTTGTACGTCTTCTTGTTAAGTTCATCCTGAGTCTGTCCGACATTGTATAAGATAAAAACTTTGTAGTATCTAGAAAGTGCTCATTAGTATTGGAATTAACAAACGAAATCGGAACAGACTCACCTGGAATTGTATACAACCAGCATGTCGGTTTTGTAATGAAATCATTAATATCTAGAATTCGAACCATAGATTTTTCAACACTATCCCCCCCCACGAAATAATGTTGGATCTTTATACTCCCAAGTTATGAATAATGTGGCTTCATTTAAAACATATATCTCACATTGTTTAGAGTAAACATTAGAACTGTTTTTGTGATAAGAGTAAACAGCAGTTGATATGAAATCATCCGAAATATAATAAAACTCGAGGTCACTTAGTACTCGTGCTTCGCATTGGGCAGGTTTTTCACGAAGATCAAATACATTATGAGGATAGGTAATATATGATATGACATCAGGATTTGATTCTTCTGAAATATTCTCATGAAATTCATCAGGACTGTCGTTGCAGAGCGTAGGATCGTTAGAAAAATCAGCATCTATCCAAACCACATCAGGTTTTCGATCATGATTAGGTTCATTTAACATATTTTCCTCAGAATTGCAAGTAATTTCATTAGAAATATGTGAATCATTAGGAAAAGTCATACTTGGTACAATAGCATGAGAATTCTGATAAATCGGTTGATTAGGAAATGTTGTCTCACAAGAATTCTGGAGTTCATTTAACTCTGAACTGCCATATGACTCTGCACTGTCTTTTGAAATCGTTGATAAAGATAAATGATCATCATGAATACTCGACTCAGTAGAATCAGAATTACAAGACTTAATATTAATTGCAGTAAGATGAACATTAGCATTACAAACTGACTGAACTTGTCCAATATCACGACATTTGAAGCACTTAGAATTATGAAATTTACATGAATTAGAAGAGTGGAACTTGCAACAGGACAAACACTGACCAAACTTGTCCCCATCCTCGTGAACTCCATCCAAATTCAATGAATTGTCTGCATAACCTTGAGTATGCACTAGGTTGAGATGACGTAGTAATGTAGTGGACTTTTTTATATCCTCATGAATCATTTTACGAAATCTTCCTCCTTTACGACATTTGAAATTTGTATACTGAGCATAGTCTAGCAGTAGATCCTTGAGAGCTGTATAAGAAAGCGAAATGGGTTTTTCCGGCATAGCCAGAGTTCTTAATAAGCTGTATGCTTCTTTTCCAATGAATGTGAGGAAGTGTGCCACAATATTAACATCCTCATCATCTTCCTTGGTCATAGCCCAGATTTCGAACCTTTCAAAGTAATCTTCAAAAGCTTCTGAAGTTGAATGAATATCTAACTTTTCCATTGCAGGCTCCATCGCGACGCCAATATAGTATTCTAATTATAGTATGAATTAGGAATTCCAGGATTAACGCAATTGAATTAAGAAGACACAGGCACAACGAATGTACTGTATTTAGAATTCGAAATCGAGCATTCAACAAGTACAAAAGAATCATTAGTTAATTCAAACACCACACAGTCTCAGACTTAGAACATTATCATGATTCATATATAAAGTATGCAATGGTTTATTTTTATTTCTTTCATTAAACTTTTCTTTCAGAAAGACTTGTTTCAATAAATATTATTGAATTAAATAAAGATTTCAACAATAAGATAATCCTCATCCTTAACATGGAGTAAAAATGTACAATAAATTCTCTATTCTTGTTTTTCAAACGATTTTAAACCGACAATTTATTGAAACTTGATATATCTAATGATAATTTTGCTTACACCTATTAGTTTCACCTAATAAAATAGCTAAAGTTTAGAAAAAAATGATCATATTACATAAAGATTTATTTTCTGTGCTTCATAACCCACAACTTCCTTAATTATTCAAATGTTTTTACAGTTTCACGGATGTTTTTATAAATATCAATTGGAAGACAAGTACTCTCAAATTTATTAGAATAAGCTAAAAAGATCAAAATCTGGAAAATCCAAACTTCTCTTTCATTTTGGAAAGAGCGAAAAAATTTCGAATTTGGATGATGAAACTAAATCATACTGAATGTAGTACAGTATAGTCAATTAGACTAAATGATTAAGTGGATTTTTTGAATAACAGATTCCAATTATTACTGAGAAAGAGAGATAAGCAATTGCTGAGGTTTACTAATTTGTTTATTGTGAAAGTAATAAATTCAGAGTATGTTATCCAAGCTAATTTGCCAAAATAGTCATAAGAAACCGTGATCAATTATTATTAGATGTTCACATAAATACAGAATAGTCAACGCTTCGCAGCTCCTAAGTATTCAAACTATTATGATATTTATAAGCAAATATGATTAGTGGCTAGCAGTGGAATCCAGGACGCACGTTTCACCCCACCTGGGAGTCGTCAGCTTGATGTACCTGTATCTCAGAGTTGACGTTCACTATGAGACTCGAATCCAGTACCGCAGATATGCCAATAAGTGACTGATCACTTGCAGTCCTAAACATCAGTGGGAAGATACAAGCAAAGCAATAGCAAGTGAGTTTAGACATCATCCCATTGAACAAGCAAGTGGCTATCAGGATTCAGTAACTAAGTGGATAACGCGATGGTGTTTGAAGTGAACGATACTGGGTTCTAGTCCCAGAGTGAACATCAACTCTGCAATGCAGGAATATCCAGCTGATGAGTCCCAAATAGGACGGAACGCGTGTTCTGTATTCCACTGCTAGCTACTATCCATGTTTGCTTATGGTGCTTGTGACTTAAGGCAATATCGAGGTAATATGCACAGTAAGCAATAAGAGACTGATAAATTGCAGTCTTAAACATTAAAAGGTAGATTCAAGTAAACAATACTATGTGAATTTATTATGATATTTTCTTATCAATCTTCTAGTATGAAAGTAATATTCATTTTCATATCAAATATTTGACCTAATTAAATGGTTTTCTAATGTACATAATACATAGTAATTTTATGGACAATAAATAAAAGAAGCAAATGATAGGTTAAAAAGGCGGTAAATAGTCTACGGTGATGTATTTAGGAACAAATGTTGTCCCGTAGATTTTCCACTTTTTCTTAGTGAATAAGTCTTCTTAATATGTTTAAATTTAAACTTTATGTTATCAATTATTTTGGTGGTGAGTATAAACCATTTGGTAGGTACGGGAGTTTTATTAATTATCTTAGATTTAGAATTACCACGTTCAGTTCCATGCCGTTTTCAAGGGATTAATAAATTTTCAATGTATCTTTTATTCCAGAGAAAACTGTTTACTGAACAAATATGATTACTTTTATTGTCTACTTTATTTCTGTTTCAAACTGTTTTTTGCATCAACCACTATTTATTCGTAATACTTATATGAATTTTTACTATTTCGTCTTTATTTTGGTCCGTTATTCAACAGTTACTGTTATTTTGTTTGTATAATTATTACATCATTAAAATGTAAGGGTTTGTATAAGGACATTTTTGTATTTCGGTCTAATAGTTTACTGTGGTCAATGTGGTTTGCGCCATTCCACCCGTATGGTAATTTTTCTTTTTTAGGGTATTGTAAAAGAATCAGATCTTAATCAGCAGAATGGGCACGAAAAGCTTAGCATCGACAATATATATCATGTTGGTGGTTGCCATCAATCTCATTCAGATAGTGAAAACCTAGAGAAACTAAAAACGACCTTAAGGCAAGCCTTGGGATTAGATCCAAATTTACCAAAACAATGTGTTATGATGGATTTGGAACATCAAAATAGGTAACTGTGAGTATTTAAAATGGTTACTTTAACATTTATCTATAATTTTCCATCTGTAATTTAGACTATCTTTGCTTGCAATAGAAATGCTAATAGAACAAGAAGATATTGATGTACATCCATATGGAAGAGGTGGAATTTACGAAGGAATATTGTACAGAAACAGGCCAAAAGAAAAAATTAACATCATTTCGGCGTTTATTTGGTTCGTTTTTGTTAGTTCGGTTGCTATTATGGCTGGGACAATTGTCACTGTAGCAGGTAAACACAAGTTGATGTATAAGTTTTAACATAAGTAATTTGGTATTTATAATGTTTATGCAGAGTTGCATGAACTAACGTTGTTATCACATAACCAAGAGTTTAAGGATGAGTAAAATAGTTCAAAAACAGGTAAAGTTGCATAAGAATACAATCGATATCAACTTGTGTTCAGAACCAATGTTAAAGTTAATATAATAACGTTCAAACAACATTTTAAAGATTTTCCACATCACGCTTTACCACCGTGATCTAGGTAGCAAATGAAAATCAAAAGGGATTTGATAGCTGATTCGTTCTACTTTCAAGCTATTTAGAAGTTTGTACCTACGGATCAAATCCAGGACATTTGGGACTTGGAATGAGTGTGATACTCTAGACTGCGAAGGTTGGATCTCATATGTCACTATTTCGACTTTATATAGTTCGTAATATAATCTGTTATTGAATAATAACAGAGGTACATACTTCAATACCGATAAATACAAACACCATAGGTCTGATGATGTCACGGATATTCAGAGTTTGACAACGATTTTGTTCGTAACGCCTTTATAACTGAAAGATGATAAACCCAATCAAACCAGAAGTCAGGAGTGAAGTAGTTTGATGATATTTTTGAAATTTATTCGATATATCGACGTAAGCTGACTAGTTGTTACGACGGATACGTAGCATAGCCAGAATTTTATTCTTAACCAGCATGCCGTCTGTAAGCACTCTTCTGATGGCTTCCTACGTTCAGCAGCGCTACAAGTCGTTTCTCTTTACATAAGTTGGGGAATCGAAACCAGGATAAGACAGTTTCCATGCGTCTCTTTGTTTACAGTTATACTTCAGTGATCTCAAACTAACTTCAAACTGAAAAGTTGACACAAAACCCTATTTTATTCAGTGACTCTTTTCCTTTGTAGAACTTTACTACTTCTTGAAGTCAGAAAATACAAATGAAGATAAAATGGCTTTCTGTAACTTTTTTAAAAACTGTTTGAAAGTCAAGCCATTTCAATGAAGAATTCTTAGCTTATATTATTGACAATGTATCCCTACCAGATACTTAGTTCTATCTAACAAATCTATAGATCCATAGAATAAATAGTACATTCAGTTCTTTAACTATGACTTATCTGCTGAAAAGTAAATCAGTTTATTCCTCTTTGAGTAAACCTTTTAGTTCTGATAGTTCTTTAATTTCCTAGACTACTGTTCTTACTTTAACTGAAATAAGTTCGGTTAACATGTCAAAAAGAGTACTGTTTCTCAAATAGTTTGTGCTTATTTTTTTTATCATTGAACTATCATTGAGTTGTTTTCTGCTTTGTATAAATATCTGCTAATTTGCAAACCGGTATTCTTTAATTTCCCTATGTTTGTGCAGTAGCATTATTACGTCGTAACACGTATGCACTGTAGACAAATTGCTTAAACACAAACAATGTGTAATCATAAGCTTTATAGATTATACACATGGCTCGAACGTACATTCTTAATCTATACACCCAAAAAGTCTGTCATGACACTTGTTTTGTTGGCACACAAATCAAATCCCGACCGTTTCAAAAATGTGTAAACTTGACTGTCAAATCTGAAGCGTCAAAGTTTAGAAGGCAAACTCTGAATAAAGAGGTGCCACTGAAACAAAAGTAAAGTTTTGAAATAGTAATTGGACTTCAACTACACTTTACGAGGTATTGAATATGAACTATAAATTGAACAAGGCAAAATAGGATTGTTATGTTTTATTACTACTGATTAAAATATACAACAAAGCACTCATTCCTTGAAATAAAGTAGTCAGTAAAACCTAAAGGAGGGGTACTTTACTAAGAGAACTACAGTTTTATTCTTGAGTTACTCATGTGAAGTACTTGTATCTCACAAATTCATTAACAGTACTAGGACGTCGTTGTGTTCCGAAAGATGAAAAGTTAACCGTGTGTGTGAACTTTATTGACATTGGTAAGGCTATTAAGGAAGTCTCACACATCAAATTATCACCAGTGTTAAAAGATTTCAGAATCAGAGTCACTTTGCTTCTGTGGATAAACGATATTTTAGCTAAACAAAAGGGAGTAGTATAGGCTTACTTCAAGATTTTTTAGATGTAAAACAGTGAGCATATCGGTGAAATTGTGGTGTTTGTTATTCATTGTTTCGGGTGAAATATGATTTTATTCTTTTTTCTTCAAAAGACGCCAGAAGAGAACAAACCTCTGTAAAACTCTGTTGCACATAAACTATTTATTGAATAGAGTTGATATTTTGCGTAATAAGATGAACACATAATGCCAGTTTTATAATACAATGACATAGTTAAAATTTCCTAGCAATCTTAAGAAATTTCAGCCCCAGATATCATTGACCTCCACAAAGCTGCCATTAGTGAAACGATATTCGACATCGGTTTAAAAGATTTTATGTGATTGGCTTAGTTGTATAACATAGTCAGGTATATAAAATCTTACAACAAACAATTATTTTGGACGAAACTGTGCAAAACGTAGCACGAAATGTGTCGAACAATCGTCATGAAATAACATTGATGGTAGCAACGAAAATTACTAGAAATGGTGAGAGTAACTTATAAAATTTAAAAATCCGTTGAAACCATATTAATTTAAATGATGAACCTGGAATGTTGAAATCCTTAACTTCTGATCGTTCGTAGCGAAACCGAATTGTTTACCTAGTTTGCTGGGTCGTACACTATGCTTTTAAGTAGTGATATGGTCGATTTATAATAATGATATATATGATTTAAAAAACAGTTACCCGTTACGATTACCTGAAATAAACTTTCGACCCTTGTGATATTGTTGGTTTTTCTGGTCTTACAAACTGAAAAATACGTTTAGGTAGTCGATTATTAAGTCTGACGTCGACCCTGAAATGACCAATCTATACTTTCACGCTAGTGCTGAAATTTTGATCTTGACTGAAAATAGAACTCCTTAGCTATTTCAGAGCTCACAATTGCTCTTAACTTTGAGCGAAACGAAAGTATTAAGGCGCTTGTATTCTTGTCTGACCATCCATCTTCTAAGTTCAAGCTGGCCACATGTATCGGCTAATTGTTCAAACTTTCCAATGCCTATTAAACACAATCACCATTAATTTTTGCGGACTTCAACATCACATACAGATCATATACGTACGTATATGTCAAGGGTTCACAAAATCATAACTACTATCATGATGTGGTGGTAGAGTTTATCTTTCGTGATGACTCGTTGGGGCTATATTGACTGAAATACGTGTTCCTTCGTGTCCTATCATCCCAGGCAGGTCGGATGTAGGACGAAAAAACTTAAAGGAGCAATTCGAGGTTCATGAGAGACATTTTACTGCTGAATGTCAAGAGGTATGAGAGTATTAAGGTGTTTAGCTCGGAAAACCGGCATTTAGTAGTGGAGTTGATTTCTCGTTATAAAACAAGAGCGTTAGAAAATATCAACCCTTAAAATTTGATGTAATTGATTCTTTTGATAAATTTGAATAAATCTGGAAGAAAGATGGATGCAGAATAATATGGATCCATTAAATTCCATGGTGTCTCATAAGCTGCTTACAACCACCTATGTATTGAAAGGAACTGGCCGGAGGTCATTTGGTGTTGGAATCCAAAAACATATATGCAGAGTGTGATGCAATATTTAACTGAGGTTTAGAGACAAATAAGGTGAATTGTATGATAATCTTAGAGGTAATGAGGATTTTACATAAGATTCCTGGAATTAGAAAACTGATAAGCTGGGTTACATAAAGATTGAACAGAGTATTGCGTTGATGTTCAAATCCTTTCCCAAACCCTCAATAATTCTCCCATTCCAACAAATAGTCCTCGTATATCTTTATCACTGCACCCCGAAATGTTTTTCCTCATCTACTGAAACTACGCTCTGAATAACGTAATAATAATACGTATCACCAGGACAGATACACGCCACTTTTACAGACATGTTTGAGCTATATTTGTTCAAACCTTGTGCCAGATGGAAAAACAGGCATTGTTGGCAAGAGCTCCAGGACGTCACACCATCGACGCACCTGGATGTGATGGTGGTTGATTTTTATGCCCAAGTAAGTAAACTTAGGAAAACCGAAATTCACTTAGGCGAATCTTTCAGTGTCGTGGCTACGCGAATAAATAATGATCATCTTTTGTTGAAATTACGCCTAGATGTTAGCTTAGTTCTACCAAATGCAGACCTTAAACAAAAGGAAAAACGTCGCTTGACGTGGCGAGCACCCAAAATGACTCAACGATGGACTTGGGCCGACCACATTTCCATTAGCCTACATCCAATTCTTAGTGAAGTCGTAAGGTTATAATTAATCTAAAGCTATGGAGAGCAGCAAAACTCGATTAGTTTTTACTAGCTTGCTTCACTTGTGGTGCAGGTGAGATATCCATCTTCCAACCAAAGGACGAGTTTTATAATCACCGATTCGCTTCGCTTCACCTTCTGGATGTGAAACATGGCCATTAGAAATAGTGGATATTCGTAAGTTACTACTATTCGGTCATAAACGTCTACGAAAAATTGCTCGTGTATTTTGGGACCACAGAGTAAGCAAGAAAGTAAACCAGCCTCCTCTTCGTGAGTCGATTTTTCCCAGGTCTTAGACAATCTGCAAAGCGTGACTGGAGATAATAATTTGGATGCAACCAAAAACAGAGTTATTCCCCAATAGTTATTGTATAGGTAACATGAACCTTTTTTAAGAATAAGGACAACTATCGGCCGATTCCATGATGTTAAAGCACTATCTAACTGCTAGAAGTATGAAAACAACTAGGCCATTTCTTTAACCAGAACCTCATCGCTGCCTTTGAAAACGGAGGAAGATAAGTCATCGAGACCTGGCAATCCGCGAGTCTGTAGTAATTGAAGTTTCTCGCAGACTCCTGCCTCGTTAGGTGAGTCAGACATCAGGGCCCATGGAGAACGGGACAGGAAGAAACAGGATACTAGTTAAGGACGGCAAATCGATTGATGAGCTGGTAAAACTTCAACAACTTAGGTGGTTTAGACATTTCTTATGCATGCCCAGTCACCACCTACCTCGAGGGTCGATGTTGTCTGGGGTAGGAGTAGGCTAGTGAAAAGCTAGAAGAGGCCAAACCAAGACAAGGCATCAGTCCGTGAAGCAAATGACGATTGAACTGAGCCATGTTATCAGGTACAGACCGTCTGGCTGGAGTCCGTGTGATCAGCGTAATCAATTATTAGAGACTTCAAATGATACGGCTCAAAATCACTTGCAATGACACAGGCGCCTCTGTGTTTACCCCATATTCTGAGATTCTAAATTTCTTGCAATATTATCTCACTAATTTGTACTTTCTCGAATTGTAACTTAGACGTGTAATATTTCATGTCAGAACTAGTGCTATTAATACCTCCACAATTTCAAGATTTAGCCGGACATTTTGATCTCTCTGTGCTAATGGTCTATGACGACTGAACCGTTTCACATACGTTACTGGTTTCACTTTGTGACTGACCGACGGACTGAAAAAAACCATGAAGTTTGTTACAATGAATGTACTAACTGGACATCGGTCAGACTTGCAGCGTTACCCTGCCTCCAGTAAATATTGTCATCATGATATCAAGAAAGCCATATTCACTTTCATTTTGTACATGAAGATTTACTGAAGAAAACTAAGTGGATCTGTGATTTCGCAAAATATCACTGCAAGTTTTCCAAATTAGGGCACATTCATTCTAGACGTGGTTAATGCATGATTTCAATCATTTCGAGACAGAAGACCAACTCGACTAGCTTATTTTTTAAAACCTTGATCTGTCCGAACAATTTGTTAAGCTCTCCGTATAACAAGTCATGGTACTGTAGCGGTAAATAAATCTCCAAAATAAATAGCTCTGTAAGTTTTCGACATTGGGCGCTAACCACATGTCTTAATGGACTCACCTAGCTAAAGACGCTCGGTCATGCATCCGCACCAGATCGCCTGTGGGAACGCCGTGCTCAACATCTACTGCAATCGCTAGCCAGATTAAATCACACGATTCTCGATATATTGATAGTCACCAAATATATCTTCCAGTCTCCTCGGTTCTGTCTTCTGATTTCTCTTGGTGAGTACGAGCTATATTAGATGTTACTGGTTAAAGCGTTGTCAAACACTGAATACTTGTGGCATCTTCATTGGTGAGCCCGACGTAATCTGGCATACCAAATCGTAACCTGTGAGTCTGTTCCTTTTTGGGATTCTATATATCATTGCCTTATCTTAATTTTTATACATTGTGATATTTTTCCCGCGCTTTCGGATATCTCTATATTTTTCACTCGTGTATTATCGTACTTCATTTTCCCTTATGACTGAACAGACCCCCAAGGCTTTTAAGATCACGACTTTGTCCCCACCCTCGTTCCAACTCATGCCTTTCTGGCCAGACAATATGGAAGCCTGGTTCTGCTACGTAGAAGCCGACTTCCACGAGCACGGCGTGATCGACACGCGTGCACAATTCTTCGCAGTAGTCAAGGCACTATCGCGCGAATTCAACAGGTACGTAACACCTGGTATGTTTACTAGTGATGTTTCTGAATCGTATGAAACCTTGAAGCGTCCTATCCTTAAAGGAGGAGACCTAACCGATCGACAATGGTTAGACCAACTACTTAATAACATAGACCTGCAACACGGTTCTGCGACTGACATGTTGCAAAGGATGAGAGAGGTTATAGGCCTAAGAACTTTTGACGAAGGCCTATTCAAACAACTCTTCTTGTCCCAACTTCCCCAACAGGTGCAAGCGTTCTGGTCTCGTTTCAAAACAACACCTCAGACGAGTTGGCTGCATCTGCCGACCTCATTTTAGAAATTACGAAATCTTCTACTACCGAGGCATTTTCAGTCAAATAAAAGCCTCAAACGACTCAGAATGACATAACCGAGTTATGTCATACACCTACGCGTTATCTTAATTTTCGTGACGACCGTAAGCGATCACACACACCACGTAGAATTACTTCACGTAAGCGATCTGCCTCTAGACCACGAGAGACGGATAACCCCGACTGGTGCTGGTATCATAACCAGTATGGAAAGTCTTCCAGAAATTGCAGAAAACCCTGCAATTTTCCCAACACGAAACCGATCGACTCGAAAAACAACTCGGGAAACTTCCGGGCCGGCACTCGTTAACGGCAACCGTAGCCGGCGAACATAGCCGTCTGTTATACGTCACAGATGTGACAACGACAGTTTGCTACCTCGTCGACACTGGCGCAGAAGTTAGCGTTCTCCCAGCAAATCCTAACGACCGACTTCACGAATCGACCCTAAACTTACAGGCGGCAAACGGAAAACCGATCGCTACGTATGGCAAAAGGTACGTTTACCTTAACGTGGGCTTACGCAAACCCATTCACTGGATCTTCGTTGTTGCAGATGTTTCTATGCCAATCATTGGTATGGACCTTCTACAACATCACAATCTGATAATCGATACGTGCAAACGGAGGCTAGTAGACGGAAACACTAATTTATCCGTTTGCATAACTTCCTTTCCTGGTTGCAAATTATCCCCAGTCACAATTAAGCATATGATAGACCCACTCTATCAGCCACTACTCGATAAGTATCCTGGGATACGACAATCGCAACCGAGATTACCGTGTGTAACCAGCGACGTTACACATCACATCACGACTACAGGACCACCTGTATTTTCTAAAGCATGACGACTAGCTCCTGAGAAGCTAAGGTTAGCGAAAAACGAGTTCGACTACATGATAGACTTGGGTATCATAAGACCGTCAGATAGCCCATGGGTATCACCGTTGCACATGGTCCCTAAAAAGGACAGCAACGATTGGCACCCAACTGGTTACTATCTGTGATTGAATGCGAAAACCATTCCCGATCGTTACCCGTTGCCTCATATTCACGAATTGACAGCTACCTTGAAAGGTACAACTGTCTTTTCGAAAATTGAATTGGTTAAAGCTTACAACCAAATTACCATGGCCACTGTCGACATTCCAAAAACAGCTGTCATAACTCCCTTTGGACTTTACGAATTTCTGTGAATGCCCT